GCGGTCAGAAGAGCGGAACCACTAGACTACTGGTATCTCAGGTATGACCGCAACCAAATTTGGGTCCTCCTTAGCTAATCAATCCATCTGCCAAAAACAATAAGAAAAAGTACGAAGACAGACAGGAACCAACCAATGCAGTATACGACAGAAACCGAATAAATCACGCAACAAGACCAAAGACAAAAAAAAGAAATGGCATCAACTCACTCATAAATATACTAATCTCACCAACCAACAAAGCAACCTGCAGGATTGCACAAGGGAAAGAAGGAAATCCCCAGACTCAGAAACCCACCAGCAGAAAAAAGAAAAAAAGGGGGACCCCGGAAGTTGCCAGGAAAATTAATTACCAGCAAGAAAAGATAAAGCTGCAGGCGACAGTACACGATGATAACGGGCGCGATCCAATCCATCCATCCATCCCACCTATCCATCGCCTGAGGCCGGATGAAGAAGAAGCGGAGGGGGGAAGGAAGGACGGAGTAGATGATCGGTATTACATCATACCGTATAGAACCAATACTGCACTGAAACCCACTTCTTCATCACATTCTACCTGCGCCTGACTGATGTTCTTAACTTACCATACGAGATTCTATTCCTGGTAAAAACCAAGTCAGGTCACCCTCCCTCCGTTTCCCAAGGGACACTGCAGCAGTGACACCTCTCGTTTCTCCACTTTCTCTTCCCTCTCTCTTCAATCATCAATCATCAATCCTCCTCCCCCCAGCCAGCCAGCCGATCCCCGATCGACCCAGTCCCAGTTAGTTCAACTTTCAGTCCGTCACTCAGTCAGTCAGTCAGTTTCATGGTAACCAACCCAACGTTCGCGGGAGAATTCTCCCCCATTCCCCGGACACCGAATCATTCTGCAGGCTCCCATTTCCCACCCCCAGAGGCTGGCTACTATCATCAAGTGACTCATCTTCAACTAAGTTACTTAACTAACATTTATTACGTCGGACAGAACTACTTCTACCTATGACACAAACACAGCCTCCCCATGCGACCTCGCCACCGACTGACTGAAACTGAATGAAGAACCGGATCGCCCTGATAAGCTAAAGCTATGTACCCTACCTCACTTGTTAAGTTCTTCTACTGCGCACTCCCGTAGCCTCGCCCACGGAAACCTTACTTAGGTGGCGATCAACAAGCCTACGCCGGCGTCGGTGGCTGCTGACTGGTTGATGATAACCCCGTGGCCCCGTCGCAATGCTGCCTGATTGTTATCAGTACTTAGTTATCTCCACAGTACTAGTAGCTCCCTGTTTGCTGTCGTAGATTGGTATCTGGAGGTGGTAGTATTTCTATTTACTCGACTGCCCGTCAATATTCACAGGGAAGTGGAAGGCCAAAGTAGTAAAAAAAAAAAATCAAAAGAAAAAGCAACTGCATCATACACAGTAGGGACACACACGCACACATTCCTGCCAAAAGATAATATGAAGAATTGAGAATGAAGAGGAACCAAGAAAAACAAGCCCTCCACGTCATTCCCACAAAAATGACCGCCTGACGCCTGGCTCTTCCTCTATTCCTTCAAAGGCAATTGTATATAGAAACAAGGAACACAGAGGAAGAAAATTCCCACCCTTTTGGTCTGATTTAATTCTTCCTGTCTATCCTCCCCGGTCGGGCCATTCTTGGGTAACCAAAAACAGGGCGTCCCATCGATGTGTGTCCTTCGCGACCACAGAACCACATACTAAACTTCACCAAAAAGACGTTCTAGAAACGGGGGAAAGGTAGGGTTCAACAACAAGCCTCCTCAAACCCCAAGCCCTCTCACGAGGAGCCATAGCACAATCGGAACCACGACATTGTCATTACATCCTGTCAGAATCGCCTCGGTTGCGCTGGTTCCCCCAGCGGCCAAAATGACTTTCACCACGGTTTTCAACCAGGGGAAATTCTGGTGCAGTCCATAGTTGTCTCCACTAATCGGCCATTCTCCCAGCACGAGCCAGACTCGCGCGAATAATAAGCCACACGTTACAGCAACCGCAAAGGCCACGCTGCCCTCGAGCGATTTTCCTCCTCCCCAAAACCACTTGCGCCGACCGAACCGTCGCCCCACTAGCGACGCTGCCGCATCGCCCATGCCCACGCAGATGATCCCGCTCACCATACTCACGTCCCGGGTCATCGCACTCCACCCCATCCAGGGATGGTCGCCCGTCCGAGGGATATCTGCCAGGGAAAGCCAAAGGGGGATCGAGCATCCGATGAGGAGGAAGATGTGCGACACGATCACAGGGCCCCGGTGATCGCGCCCGTCCACGTAGGGGGCAAGGAAGTAAGTCAACGGGCGCGAGATCGGGGGCAGCTGGGACGCTCGGAAGAGATCGAGCAGCAGGAAGACGGACAGGACCAGACTCAGGGCCAGAGCACAAAATGTGGGGTCGATGTACACCGTCGGAAGGAACATCAGCACCATCATGCCATGGAAGACCTTGCGTCTCGTATCGACCTCCGCGATGGAGCTCAACTGTAACACAACCGCCAATCCAGTCACAAGTACCACAACGCAATATGCTGCAACGAGGAGGCGCGAATTAGCCTCCCCGAAGACATCTCGGCGGAGATGTTCGACCCAGCCAAGAGTGCAGGAGGCGTCCAACAGGTCAGGGTCCAGGCGAGCGGGGAGAGGAATCCAATACTCCAGGTTCCACATAATCACCCAGAATCGAAACCATGAAACGTTGCCCAGCAGATAGCTCAGTGCCCACCCGAACGGGTCTTCTCCGTTTAACGCCTGCTCGCCCACATATTTTCGAACAGGTCCTAGGATGATGAGCAGCACGGTCACGTAGACAAACAGGGCATACATCCATTTCCGGACTTGAGCTTGAGGCACTGTCAGCGACAGGAACGACGCTAGACCAGGGGCCATTGACCGCTTGCGTCGCCCACTGGGCGTAGTTCTGACTCTTCCTGTGCGTGCGACCTCGCTGACGCTAGAGATCGTGTGCCGTCGCCGGTGCGTAAGTGTAGGCTGCTGCCGGACGCTTTCTGTCACCTCAGCCTCTACGGTGCGATTGGGCTCGCCCGCCTTGGTTTTGTCACGCGACTCGAGCATTGTCTTTCGTGAGACGAGCGAGAATTGGCCTTCTGGCGAGTCACTGTCCGACAGATTGTCCTCCGAGGTGCCCGTGCGGCTTAGTCGCTGGCATAACTTGTGATCAAGCACATTGAAGATATTTCGAGGTGACTGCGAGTTGCTGGGCGCTCGCCGAAATTTCCAGCTGGGGATCCTGGCCAGAGCCACTTCCCAGCGAAGCACGTCGCGACAAGAGATGAAGATGCACAGGCCACCAAGCCATAGCAACGCCTTAAGGATTTCCGCCTGAGGCGAGGACGCAAATAAGAATATATTGATCAGAGCGCTTGTCAAAAGCTGCAGTTCTGCGGGAAGGACGCTGGTAGTCAACAAAAAATCTAAAGTGGGTATCAACGCTTGATGCAAAGGAAAAAGAAGAGCCAAAGATTCCGAGTTGAGGCCGCGAAGAGATAAAGGTTTGGGAGGCGAAATTCCTGCCGATAGTTGCTCCGAGACGATAACCGGAAGCAGAGTGATCATCCAATGGACGATGCTGTGTCCGTGAACACAATCGTGCAGTGGGATGACGGCAGGCGGAAGAGATGAGAGACTGAGGAGGACATTAGGGAGTATTAGAGTAGGACTATGCTGCGCTAAAGACAAAGCAACGTAAATGGGTATCAAGATCGGGTAAAGCAGCGGAGCAGGATCGAAAGTCGTAGGGATAACAAAGGACCGTAGTCTTGAGAAGCGAAAACGTCCATCTCGATGGAAAGGATAAGCGGCGTAAAGCCCACCGACAAGTAGGGAATGGGCAAGAAGCTCTAGGGAACATTAGCAACCACAGGGACAAGCTCTCAAATACACTATGATATCTCGCGCACCTTTTCTCCAAGCCCAAGCAATCGCCCTCGTGCTTTCTTGTCCCAGAACGACGCCGCCCACCGAGAGGAGCAACGCAGCCTCCAACAACCTCTGCAGAACCCCGATGCGTCGCTTCCGAGCTTCCTGTTCGCGCAATCCTGTCGCTGAGGCCTCGGCTTCTTCTCCTGAGCTCCGCCGCGAGCTCCGTGAGGTGGAACGGGTTATCGACGGCCACGGGCGCAATAGGGGAAACCACTGGTCTTCCTCGCCAACAGCATGACGACCCGAACGCAACCCTTTCCTTGGTCGCAAAGGTGCTGCTGGTAGACCCCTCAGTATGCCCGTGCTTTCATCATCAGCCTCGGTGCCACTATCGCTCGAGGTCCGTGGCCAGTGGAGACGGGTTGATCGGTCGCCGGTATCCGCAGGCAGCGACGATGAATGCGAGCCCTTGCGACGATACGGGTGAGGGGAACGAGAGGGTTGTCGGGGAGTGTCAGACAGCTCTATTTCGAGGGCAGAACCGTTGACAGGAAGCGATCCATCTTCCTCCTGGCTCAGCGAAACGGCCATGGCATGGATGGTGGGTGATGAGCGGCCTTCAGAGCGAGTACGTCATATCGACTGATGGGTCGGTGGAGGAGCACTGGGTTGAGACGGAGGGTTAGCGATGACAGGACCAGATGACCGAGATCAAACAGAAGGCGTGTCAATATACCAGGAGAATTGACCCAGGAGAGGTGCGTGGGGTGGCAGCAGCGAAGAAGAAGATGAAGTGAGAATGTTATCGCTTTGATCGAACCGGAATCCCAGGGCGGAAAGGCGGGTTTTTTCGCTTATCACATGCCGCGCAGCACGTCAGCAGGAGAGCCTCTTGGAATCAGCCCATCAAGTGAACCCATCGTCACTCCTGAATCTTACAAAAGGTTATTCACTACATTGTTGTTCCTAATTCCTCTACGAGTCAGGAGATATGTACTTTTGTATCGGTGCCTCCACTCTAAGACGTCGAATGATCCATGATGCATACTTGAAAGCCGTGCGCAATGGACCCCTGCATGGCCCGGCAGCCTTACAGCAAGCAGCACGCCTATGATGCCGGGGTGTGTCTTTGTATAATGACACCTGCCGCCAACTCTCGTCCTTTCGCTCCCCAGACAGATTTGCAGGGAACAATCTGCGCGGAGAACGCAGGTTTGGACAATGGCTGACTGGTATAGATGATCGCGTGAGAACCTTCTGCCACCTCAGGCAGCTTCTGCAGGACAAGCTGCAGATACGAGTCCAAATCAGATCCCGACTGTTCCATGTCGATCTCAATGCCGATATAACTGAGGTTCTGCTCTGTGGACACAGTGGTCTTGCGGCCATACTCCGTATCTTCTGCAGCCATCCGCAATCCACCACACCTGTACCCCAGACCCTGCCATTCGATATCACTTCCTCGGGGAAGCTCTGATATCTGGACTGCGAAAAACGCAGGAACCAAAGCGTCTGACTGGACCACCCCAAAGTTAGGCAAGTTAGGTGTCGATGGACTCGTGGCTTGCTCGTGCGCTCGGCCTCCATACTTGATATCCCAGACATCCAAGGCTGATTCTCCGTCTTCGTCGTCTTCTTCTTCATGACGAGCATGCATCCGCTCCCAAATGTTCCATGCCAGCCGGGCCTGTGTCTCAATGTGCTCTTCTCCCACCAAGAAAGCAATAGCGCCCAGCCACCAGTCAACCTCCATAGCGTGCCCAATCCTCCAAAGATGCTGCAAGGAAAGCACCGACCGCGTGGCATAGTTCTCAATCCACGGCCGCGTCAGTGCTTCCCCTGAAGCACTCATCATCTCCATCGAAGCCGGCTCCAGCGGAATCTGTCCGGCAATGTAAACCATGTGCTCCGAACCCTGTACGGGAACCGACATGGCTTGCGAGTAAGGGCCGATATTAGCCGGCGCCCAGTAAGAACGCGACTGGACATGAAGACCCTGCCTTTGCTCTCGAGGACCCAAATCCACAACCGCCGATACCATGACCTTCACACCCTCTGGCAGACTATCGCCGCAAGCCACCGTAGCTCTCGCCGGAGGATTGGGCTTCTTGAACAAGGAGACGTAGATGCCATTCATCAAGGCAAAGTCCGCCATGGAGCGCAGCAGCACCGTCGTAAAGACAATATCAGCCGTAGTCCGAGACGCAGTCCCATCCTCACGCCCAGTAGAAGCCAGAATCGCCTCAATATTCTCCTTGATCGCCTCCATCTGCTCCGCAGCCCCAGGACCAGCCTCGGGGGCCGAGATATTAGCAACCACCCACGTGCCACCATTCATACTCTGCAACACCTCCATCTGCCCTTGAGACGACGACACCTTTGCCTCCCTCTTCCCTACCACCTCCTCACTCCCCAATACCTCCCCCAACACCCCCTTAAACCCCTCATCCAACAACACCGGCCTCCTCACATCCCCCGGCACCACCCCATCCCCATCCCCATCCTTATCCACACACCTCGCCCCCCTAACCCTCACAAACGCAACACCCCCCTCCCCAGCGCCCTCCTCCCACCTGGGGACCTCAATCCTCTTCTTCCAAAGAAAACCCGGCCCATCCAACGCCAAACTCTCATACTCCCCACCCTCACCCAACACCGCGCCCCTCACATCCCCACCATCCAACACAAACCTCTTCATCCCATTGATAATCCTCCTCCTAACACCCGCATTCCTCCCGGAAACATCTCCCCACAGAAACCCCGAATCCAATCCCCCAGACGCAACCTTGATGATCCTCGCCTCGCACCCAACAGCAGCCATATCCTCCAATAGACCCGCTTCTCCCCCAAGACCAAACCTCTCCTCCGGCGCAGGCAACACCGGGTACTGCCACAGCCAAGCGAGCGGCACGAGACCCATCCTCGCTGCGACGTTCTCAATCCGGGTACGTTGGTACGTGGAGAGAATAGCGCCGGCAGAGATGGCGTTGGCTTCCGGGTGAGCGGCCTTGATGCGTTGGAGGAGCGGGATGAGGGATTCGGTTTCGTCTCCTTCTTCCTCTCCTTCTCCTCCGGTTGATAATGAAGAAGAATCACGATAAACCCTCCCCGTATCCACCGCAGACCCTATAATCTCCTGCCGATACAGCGGGATCCCTAACGCGGATTCATACTGCGGGATAATGCTATGTCCGATTGTTTGGTACATGAAGCTGTCGATGTCTTCTTCCTCATCTTCCTCATCATCGCCATCTCCTTGTGATTTTTCCTCATGACGAGTGGTAGTGGTGGAAGTAGGCGGATACAAATTCCCCAGCGCAACCACCTTATGTCCGTTCCGGATGCAGTGGAGAATAGAGTATAGGGAGTCTTTACCTCCCGAAATCAAGGCGATGACATTTAGACTTGTGGGGGATGTGGGGAGGGGGAGAGATGGTGTAGTTGATGTAGACATGATTTGTATTGAATTGTGGGAGAGGGGTAGATAGTGATTTGAGTGCGGGGGGATTTTTCTTTGCTTTTTTTTTTCCACTCCCTTTTAGTAGAGGATTGATCGGGCCCCTCGTCACCTTTTTTTGCTGAGTCGGGTGGGGAGTTGAGTGGTTAGGTGTATATTGAAATCTAGAATGGGGTAAAGAGAAGGTTGAAGCAGAATGATTGTGTGGTTTTGAGGGAGCTAGAAATGTATGTGGAGAACTCAAGTTCATGGTTTTATTCTGCGGGTGACGTTCGAGGCCAGACTCGGAAAGCCGACTGCAGCCGCCCGAGTCATACTACCAAGTATCTATACGCTGCATATAGCTAAGATAACAACCATACTATCATACAATGCTAGCTTACAGTCAACTGGTATGACTTGCGATATGTTCAAAATATCAATTATACTAGCTAAGTTGCAGAACGAACAATACGCTCAACACAAATGGCACACAAGTATTATGCACATGTGGATGCAACCGACAAGAGTGGAAGGAAATAGGATGATGCACACAGGGGTATGAGGCAACGATTGGGGAAATTTGATAGTATTAAATTGTACATGTGGCCAGCACAGATGGATTGGGGGTGGATGTTTCTGCAATCAGCAGAATGACAGGAGTGTGCAAAAATATTACATCGAATAGGCACAATGAATGCAACTGAAGGCAACAAAAAAAGAAGAATGAAGTATATAGCAGAAGCTGGTAAGGAAAAGAGGTGGAGATCGGGTACACAGAAAATCGCCGACAGGGGGTCAATAGCCCCCGTCGCGCGAGGATTGAGTCGGAGATATTCTCTCGCTGCAAACAGATGGTAAAAAAGAAAGGTAAAAAGGAGTAGAAAGGGGAATCGGAGAAAAGATCAACCCAGATCACCAGTGCCTCAAATGTGAAAGTCATCATGCGCTCTAATTAGTTTTGGTCCAACCGTGGACTCCAAGTGCGCCCAAGTTCCGTTGCCGCCGGTCTAATGCTTCGCCAATATTCGGTCCCATAAAGGGTGCCCTTTACTCATGGTTTGTATCGTTTTCGTTTTTTCTTTTCCTTTTTTGAGTAGGGCACCAGAACCGGTCAAAACCCGTACACCTGTAATTCCTATTCTGGTCACCGCCAGAAACAAAGCCCGGACGCCAAACCGCAAGACCAAGTCAGACCAACCAGTGGAATGGAAGGTTATGTATAGGATGTTATTAAGTGATATATGGGGAGCTCCTGGTCACATATCATCGTGATAGCTGCAAGCCAAGCGGATGCCAGTCTAGGCGTCGCTGTCGCGCTTGCGCTTCTTGGGCGCCCGTCGGTCGACGGTCGGCGAGTCAGAGGAACTCTCATCCGACTCACTGGTTGTCGACTTGGTAGCGGCGGCGTTGGCGGCCTCGTAGAGAACGTTCCCCAGCGTACTAGGGTCTCGTTCTTCATAGGAGTTTGGCGGGGTCGCATTGCCGGTGTCGATGACGCCCATCACGACAGAGCCACCCGCATGAGTGCGAGCGTGCTGCGCAAGGTTGTCGCTCCGCGAGAACTTCTTACCGCACTCGTTGCACTCGAAAGGCTTGTCCTGAGTGTGGAGGGAGCGGTAGTGACGCTTGAGGTGCTCTTGGCGACGGAAGCGACGGGAGCAGAGAGTGCACACAAAGGTCTTGGAGGGATCGTCCGTCAGGGACTGCTTACGACCACGTCGGTTAACCGAAACGGGGGCAGCAGGAGCCTCAGAAGCGCAAGAATGCGCGTCGGAGTTGTGGCGGGCCTGGACAGCCTGGGGTGTCGAGGCGTTTGTCTCCGTGCTGGAGGCACGGCTGTTGACCGAAGGCTGCGACTTCTTGCTAATTGAGTCCGTCTCGCTGTCCGAGGTACTAGCCCGCTTCAGCGACTTGCGGTTGTTCCGCTTCTTGTTACCCATCTCCTCCGAGGCTTCATTGATGTTGGTCTGAACGCCAGTGAAGTCGTGGCTTCCCAAGTAAGGAAGACTGGACTGACTGAGATCCTGCTCGTCAGACTCGTCGAAGCTCTGCTCACTGAAGAACTCCTCTTCCTCGAGAGGGTATGTCGTTCCCACACGTTGCCTCTTCTCGCCCAGGTAGTAGGCGTTGCCACTAGGGGGGAAGTCGACCAGGCGGTTGACGAATTCGTCTTCCGAGTCCAGGTCCGAGAAGCTGTCAAAGGTGGGCAGGCTGCTGAGAGGGTCCTCCGAAGAGGAGCAGGTGAAGGCGGGCGAGAGAGTCTCATGGACAGGAAGGGTCACGGCCTCGCTGCCCAAAACCACGCGAGGCTCCTCGTCATCGCAAGAAAGCGTGGGCAGAGGCGGCAGGTCAGCAGAGGTGGCATTGATGGAGGACTCGACCGTCAGCTGACGGGGGTCACAGAAGTCGGAGCTGGACTGCTCGGTCGGCAGACCTTGAGGCTGGGCAACGAATGTGGGGGCCACGGGAGATGGCGATGGGGAAAGAGATGGGCAAGAGCTGTGCGCTGACAGAAGCTCGGATGTTTGGCTGGCGGTGAGGGAAGGCGGATGGATGAACACTAGAACAAGTCGAGTTAGTTTCCCTGTACAACCCTAGATGTCCGGCCCCGTGCATTTTCCGTTGGATGCACTCATCCCTCCAATCTGGCAACCAAGTCAAAAGACAACGGGTTAGATAACAACTTACCAGGAGTAAGAGGCGGCGAGTCAGACCGGGTCCAGTCAGCATTGGCCAGAATCTCTGCATGAACATCTCCCTCGCATCCCTCCTTGACACCCTCCACCTTCTCGAAAGCAAAGAAGCTGTCATTGATTGGGGTGTGAAGAGTGCCGCTGGTAGAAGGCGGGCTGCTGATTGAGCTTCCAGCTGTGGAGAGTGGTGGGGTGGAGGGGAATGCGTAGTAGTCGTTACCGACGAACCTCGTGTCCAAAGGCATCAGGGCAGGAGAGCCCTGCTGCACAACAATTGTGGGCTTGAGGTGTGACGGCTGAGGAGAGGCAATAGGAGTCATGTTCATGGCGCCACGGAAGGCGTTAGTGGTAGCCATCTGGTGCATGTTCATAAGAGGGGCAGTGTAGAGAGTCTGCTGCTCCGGCATGCAGTGCTGTGGTTGTTGCTGGAAAGCCTGCACTTGGCCATAGTATGACTGCATATCTGAGGGGTGGCTGGTGAAATGTTGTCTTTGCTGCGAATCAGGGTAGTATGCAAAAGATGGTTGACCTTGCACCGGAGTAGGTGCCATGGTGTATGTTCCGTCCATTGTGTCTAGAGATAAAGAACAGGGAACCCGGTCAGTCACTCGCACTGCGCCTGGAATAGGAAGAGGCGCACTCACAGATGGTAGGACGTTGTGAATACAAGAGTAGAGGTAGCTCTACTCTTTAGTGGATATTATTAGTTATATAGTTGGTAGCTCGTCCACAGCGATGAGCGCTGAGGGTGAATGAATGTCTTGCAGAGTTGCTTGCACTTTGAGAGAGAATGACTGGGGGAAGGACAGATGATAATCCAGGAACCGCTCTCAACCAGTAGAGTATATATGAGATGCGAGATTGACTGATTGATTGATTGATTGGTATGCTGTGAGAAACGACTGTTTCGTTCTTGATAGAAAGGTTGAATGTCGTGTTGGTGGTATCTGGGATTATATCTGACGACTATGCCGCAAGTCTATGAAGGAAGGACAGGCACCTTGTATGTCGAAACGAGCCAAACCAAAAGATGAGTATGGTTCAGGACGTTCTCGATTCAAGGAAACCGGGAGAGACTGTATAGAGTCGCAAAAGTAAAAGAGAGAAAAAGAGGGCAGACAATTAAGATTAAGAGAGAGAGATAAAAGAGAGAGGGAAGAGAGAAAGGAAAGACCAGATGAGGATCGAGACAAGTCTAAAAAGGGCAAAAATGGAAAAAATAAGAAATAAAGAAGATTAATTTGAAGGACGAGGACAGTCGCGGGGAAAATGAGAGACAGGGCCGATATGGAAAGAGGAAAGCCGGCCAGAAGGATGGGCAGTGGATAAAAGAGCGACTGATCTGCTTGTGCTACGAGCTGGTAGCGCCGTGAGTAGTGAGCAGTAGGACTGGAGCCGTACTTTTTAGTCTGAAAGCCTTTTTGGGCGAGATGGGCTGCATGGAACTTTACTTTCGCTGGTGGTGGTGCCAGCAGCGAACGGTCACTACTATAATAGTAGTAGTAATCGTAATATAGTAATAAATCAACTAATAAATCTGCCGGAATGGTATGGTGTCATATGTTCGGAGACTCTCTTTTTCTTCCTTTTTTTATTATTATTATTTTCTTATTTTATTCTCTTTTCGTAAGATTCATTTTTATTTCTTTTCGGAATTCATTTTTTGAACCCTTTTTTTGTGAATTATTATTATTTTGGATTTTTCCATTTCCCTCTTTTTTTTTTTTAATTTCTCCCACAGCCTTCTTCTCGACCCCAAATAATTTTGGGGGGATCATTTATCCTCGGATTATCATCATACCTGCCCACTTTTTTTAATCCTTATGCACATCCGTCCTGGTCAAGTCGATTTTCTAGTCTGGGGCGGCAAAGAATAGCAGATTGGCGCCGGTGCACATCTCAGTACCAACCGAATGAGAAACTTGGGAGCGGAGACCAACGGGAGGTGGAACCCTCCTCGGCGGGCTTCTTCATCATCACAGTCAGCGGCATCAGCAGCAGTTAGTAGTTAGTTTAGTTTAGTTAGCAGCAGGAGCAGAGCAATATTCAACCTAGGCAGGTAGAGGTAGAACCCGACCAACCTAAGTTAGCCGGGACATGTTGTGCCATTCCTCAATTTGGGTGAGTGGGTTCTGGGTGGAGGAGGGAGGGAGGGACGGAGGGAGAGAGAGAGGGGAATGGGGGGAGGGAGAGCAGAGTGGATGGACAGAAAAGTTGTAGTAAGTTGGATCAGAAGTTAACAAGAGACGACGAATCCCCGACCGGACTAGCCAGAAACTAGGCCCCACCTTGTCGGCCGCGGAGCCCAAAAAGGCGTAAGTT